ACAACCCCCAACAAAGGTGTTGTCCAAAGGGAGTTCCTGAATCACATGATGCTTTTTTACTGACACTGGAGTATCTGCTTTAAGATGAAAAGCAGACTGCGGAGAGCCAGACTTGTAATGCTTAGCAAGGTCAGGGCTGTTAGGCTTGAAGGTAGTCGGGGGAGCTGTGCCCCAGTCAAAACGTCCAATCCCTTGTTCCTCCAGCTCGGCTGGAAGACTAATTGTCCCGTTGATAGGTTCATGAACTGTATCATCTGGTTTAGATTCCTCAATGGTAACAAAGTTCAGCAGAGAACTCTTCGGTGACTTCCTTTTCTTCCTTTTCTTTTTCTTATTTTGTTTGTTTTCCTGGTTTGGTGACATCCACTCTGCCCCTTGCTTGCTCCTCTGGGCAGCTTTGAACCTTGATGCATGTCGACATCGGACAAGAACAGTGACAAAAATTACCACTATCACGACCATTGCACCTGCCACTATGGCTATCATGATAGTGAGATAATCCTCATTTTGGTAGGACTGACTGCTGTCCCCAATGTTTGTGTCTAGAGGTGTCTCTATAGTCTTTCTTATCAAGTCATATATGAAGGAGGCATTGCCAGCAGTCTCATTAACGTACAAGAAGACAAGTACTAGAGTATGGAGAGGTTTAGGGTAGCCCAGATCACTTATGTTGACCACTAGGCGATGAAGGCCAACATCTGTTGCAGATGGTTTTTCTTCTAGTGTAATGTTGCCTGTTACGGGGTCTATCCTAAACAACCCTTTGACATTTCCACTAACAATAGTGTATTTGAGTTCAGCATTCATCCCTGTGTCAATGTCCACAGCAAAAACCTCTGCCACTACTGAACCTGGAATGGCTGAAAGAGGCACAAGCTTGAAGGATGTGTTGGATGGAGGGTAGATAACTACAGGGCTGTTGTCGTTAGCATCCATGATGTTTATAGTAACTTTTGCTGTGGAAGAGCTTGGAATTTGTCCTCCATCTACTGCCTTGACGTCAAAAGTGTAGGAACTTTGCTGCTCTCTGTCAAAAGACACATTGGACTTAATGAGTCCAGAATATGGATCTAGAACAAAGTTTTCATTGTCATTCAGGATGGAAAGGGTCACAGCTTTGTTTTCACCTGCATCTGAGTCTGTAGCTGTGATGACTCCCACAGTGCTGTACTTTGGTAAGTTCTCAGACACAAAGAACTGGAAATGGTTGTGGGTGAACTTGGGACTATTGTCATTCTCATCCAAGACAGTCACAATAACAGCTGCTTGGCTTTGAAGTGGTGGGGACCCATTGTCTCTAGCAGTAACAGTAAATATGAAACGCTCTTGCTCCTCTCGGTCGAACACTCTGGAAGCTGTCAGAACTCCAGTCTTTCTATCCAGGTCAAAAAATGATGCATTGGGTCCAAGTTGATACACAATATCCGCGTTCTTCCCACTGTCTTCATCTGTAGCACTAATAGTAGTTAAGTAAAGACCTCTACGGTTATTCTCAGAAACAGAGAGTTCAATTACAGGCTGGGTGAAAATTGGAGGGTTGTCATTTTCATCCTCCAATTCCACTCTTACTAAAGCCGTCTGGTTGAGGCTGGGCTTCCCAGTGTCAGCTGCAACAATTTTAAAACTGAATTCTTTGGTTCCCTCATAGTCCAACAAAGAAGAAGTCTCTAGCAAGTACTGGTTGTCATAAACCGCTTTTAGGTGGAACGGTACTTCTCTTTCAATGAAGCAGATGACCTTGCTGTTGACATCTGTGTCCTTATCAGAAACAGTAATCAGGGCTATCTTGGTGTTAGTTGGATCCTTTTCTGATAAGTAGACTGTGCCATTGATGGGGCTTATGATGTACCTGAGATCAATATTTGGAGGGTTATCATTGACATCAGTCACATTAATTGTAACAGTTGCCCTTGCTGGAGTGGAGCTGCCATCTGTTGCCAGGACAGTTAACTTGTGAACTGCAGTTTCTTCCCTGTCCAGTGGTCTTTGAACAGTGATTAATCCAGTGGTGTTATTTAAAGCAAAAAGTCTTTTTGTAGCAGATGTTACTTGGGCACCATAGATGTACTTAATTTCTGCATTACTGCCTATGTCTGCATCTGTTGCATGTAACTGGATCACTGATGTCCCTGTGGGGGCATTCTCTGGGATGTGGACTTCCACTTGACTCTCTTTGAATACTGGTTTATTGTCATTGACATCACTTACTGTAACTTGTAAGATAGCTGTGCTGGATTTCTGAGGGGATCCTCCATCCTCCACTTTGATTTTCATGACATAGGTATCCTTCTGCTCCCTATCTAGATTCTGCTGAACAATGAGTTGTGGCCACTTCTCCCCCTCAGGTGTCTCAACAATGTCCAGTCCAAAGACACTCTGTCCATTCAGAAGTTCATAGTGCTGGACCCCATTGAAACCTGTGTCTGGGTCCACGGCTGATGGAATAGGGAAGCGGCTGTTGATCAGGGTATTTTCTGGTATGGAGATATTGATCACAGTTGATGGGAACATTGGTGCATTATCATTGGTATCCTTGACAATTATTTTAATCTTGATAAGTCTAAAAAAGTCATTGGGAAGAATGACAACTTCTAGTTCAAAGAAACACTCATTTTCTTCTGCATAAGCTGAACCAGCACAGAGTTTTTCTCGGTCAATTTTCGTGGACGTGGTGAAGATCTCTCCAGTGCTGCTGGACACTTTGACCAAGGGAGAGTCACCAGCTTTAGATACCAGTCTGTACACCAGGCTGGCACTTGTCCCAGTGGCAGCATTGATATGAGAGATATTCAGATCCTTTGGTATATTTCCAATGGGTACATTTTCAGGCAGTTCCTCTCTGATGGTATAAATGAGTTCTTGGGCAATTGCAGAATCCAGCCTTAAGCAGGCAATGAGAGCAGCCAACAGGTAAAAATCCCTTAGGTCCATGATAATGGGCTTCCTTTGTTTTCTCGGATTTTAGGATTTAAAGGTTGTCACTGAGGAACGGTGGTGATTTGCAAGAGGAGGCGTGCATTGACTGCAAGATGCTTTACTTGTCATTTCTAATTGGAGCCAGCAGCTGTCAACACAATCACACAAACAAACAGATTTGTTGGATTCTGTAATATACAGGTCTATATGTACATACACATGCAAAGCACTGATAGTACTAGTTATGCACAAAGTGTTTCCCTCTCTTCCAGAACGTGCCTATTTACACATAACTGAGGCTAATTCATCAACAGCATCAGCACCAATGCATGCATAAAGAACACTCAGAACTACTTTCCTTCATTAAGCAAATATGTAATACTCACACGTCCCCCCCAGCTCTAACCATTCCTCTGCTCAATATGCAATTCACATCATGTATCTTTCCTCTCTCTCTCTGTAACTGTTGCCAATAAAAATCCCAAGTCCTTACCAGTATTCCTTGTAACTGCACTGTCAGCTGCCAAATACAATTTGTGCTTGGTTGCTTCTACTCTGGAGTCATTTTCCTTATCAGAGCCCCTTCCTTGTGTCTTTAATACTCTATTGCTATGATATGGAATGCTAGCTAGAAAGGGCTATATAAACAAAGCTACTGCTGCAGTATCCACCAAAGCACTCTTGCAATCTTACAGTATAGCTAAAAAGACAATACCTGGTCTATTTTTCATATCTGCAGCACAGAGGATCCTGGTATGTCCTGGGTGAATCATTCCACTTGCTAACAATGCAGCCAGGTCATACAAGTTGCAAGTCACTGGTTTGCATCCAAATGCGAGTTAAATGCAGCCACAGGGGTGAACAATGCAATGCTATAAAATGGGTATTTCTGGTCAGGCAAGAAAAGGCGCAGTCTAGTCCAAAAGAATAAAGATTAGCCCTCAGGATGATATTAGCAGCAATTCTCATAAATACTGCTGGTTAATAATGTAAAGTACAGTGGTGGTGCTGAGATGCTCTGCTGCTTGCAGATTACACAGGTGCAAGCACTTCAGGGAGATACTTTGCGTGAACCGGGCAGTTTCTAAGCACTAATCTCATCTGCATTAGGCTGTTAGCAAAGAGGCTGATGCCTGTGATTAGTTCCAGCAGTGTGATCCAGGCAGGTAGGGAGGCAGGCAGTGCTTTTTTAGATTAGAAGTGAGCTCTCAAACAGTGAATTTGGGTGTTTGCAAGACAGGAGACACACAGGATTCTGAGAAGCAGAAAATGAAAGGTTGCTAGCATAGACAACTTCATAGTTTCCATCCGTCCCCTGCCTGAACAGACTCACTGCATCCAGCAAAGCAGATAATAGTTAGTGTGGGCAATGCAATCAGTAGCAGTCTGTGAATCACACACCGAACGCCTTCCTTGAGATATGTTGCCCCTGGATGGTGATTTAGCAACTCCAAGGAAACACTCATTGCTCAGTTTGTTGTTAAATCATGCTCTCCGCAGGGTCCAGCAGATACAATGTGCTCCATGGCAAGTCAGATCAGAATAGGGTACAATATCCAGATGTAGAAATGAATCAAGCCCGTGATATTATATGTTCCATTAAGCATTAGGTAAGAAAATCCATCTGTCACATTACCGGTGCCAAAAAATAAATAAATTAAAGGAATAAAAATAAAATGAAAATAATAAAATGAAAATAATAATAATAATAAAAATCACAAGTCTGCAAGTTGATATGGCAGATGTGGTGAGAGTTGAGCTGGCGCTTGTCAGTGTGGCAGTGTGACAGTAATCCCCAAACGAATCGCTTTGAGATGCTGAGATGCTCCTTCTTTCCTCTTTATACTATCCCTCTCCTAGACGCACACTGGATATCCCTCCCTCTTTCCCTTTCCCACTGAACTGGATTTCTTGATAGAACTCTCAATAAACCCGAAGGGATGGTGCGAACGTTCTAACGGACCCGCCCAGGCTCTGCTTTGGTTGGCTGTCTGGGAGCATGAGGCAGGGAGACTGGCTGCGGAAGCCGCCCCATTAGTCCGCACTAGTGTCGCTCACTTCGTGCTGGGGTGAGAAGAGGCGGCGCTCTGGCTGGCCAGTGCAGAATGGATCAGGGGCTGCAGGCTCGGTGAGGTCGGTCTTGCAGACAAGCGACAGGCATCAGGGAAGAAGGTGGCTCCCGGCCACACACATACACATATATAAACACACAAACAAACACACACACACACACATATATATACACACACACAGACACCATACACACACCGGCTTCTACAAACACACACACATACACCTATTCACACAAGCACACACACATGCACAGTAGCATACACAAATGCAGACACACTCACTGGAATACACAGCAGCCTGAATAGAGACACACATTGGTATACACACAGACACACAAACAGTGTGATATCCAGGATGAATGCAGCATTTCTGCGGGTCTTTTCTCGCGATGTACTGTTAATGGCCCGTTTCGTTTCCCACACTCTCACTTAACTCTGTAAGTGCCGGGAAATGAATGGGTGGGTGGATGGATAAAGCATCGCAAAGCCCTGTGATGTAGCTCACTGTAAAGTGCTACACACAGCATCTACTCAAGACAGATACACAATCATGAATGTCCTCCCCCTTCAATCAATTCACCTACCCACCCACTAACCTCCCTTTATCCGCCCCCACCAACAAGACCCTTGAGCGAGCAATCAATCCTGTTGGGGGGAAAGGGTTGCGAAGGGCAATGAAATCCATTAAAAGGCCAGGGTGCCATGGGCACAATACGATTTCCTTAGAATGCGCTGCCTATTCAGAATTGTGGCTTTTCTTTACAGAAGGCGCCAGGCTGAGGAGGACGCTTGGGATGCAGACCAGTGGGCACCGAATGGATGGGCTCCTGCTACAGCCAGGCATCAGCCGTACTGCGAGACTGAAAAGCCCGTGTCCATGGTGCTGAAAGTCAGCGTGAGCAGCGATCGATTGCAGGGGTAGAGAGAGATCACAGCACTGTCACCTTCCTTACCCATCCCAATCACACCACGACCTCGTCACAAATTGTACTTAAAAATAGCATGTTTATTCCTAAAGACACAAATCAGTTAACATGCCATCTGTTCCCTTTAAACCCCAACCGTGCCGGCGTTAAGATCATTATGTTTACAGCTAATAAGAAGTATTTTCTTAATTTCACTTAAACTCTAGAGTCATTTACATGCACATTCAATGCATCTCTAGTTTGCAGCAACAAATGCCAGATTTTCATTGTAAGATCTCTTTCACTCCCTGTATATAGTCAACAAAGACTCTTAACCCACAGCTTGTTCTTTTTGAACAGTAACCACTATTGTGTAATCACATGCTGGGTGAGATAATGCTCGCCTCATTGTGTCACCCTGTTGAGGCTTATGTCACAAAAGTAGCTACAATGTTAAATTTAGAACAAATTGGCTTGTGTTTCCTTAGATATATTTAAACAGAATAAGTGCACCTACTTAGAGAAAATGTACTTGCTGGAATAGACTATGTTCATTATGCTACACATTGCCTAACTGGAAATTAGTAGTGACATTTACACTATTATTTTTGTTACATAAATCAGTGATGTAAGATGTACTTACTATAATAAGAAGGAATATTGTAACAATCTGTAGCAGTCTATAATATGATGTGTAATAAGGCATGCTATAAGAGACTGTGTAGCATATGTTGTAATAAGCTGTAGAGTAGATCTATCCTGTAATAGAGATTATCTCAAAAACGAACTGCAGGTGCAAAAGTGGTGTCTCAGTTGCAAATAAGTAGCATTTTGTATTTGTGTCAATAAGTTGTCACTAAACCACTTATTTTTATGTTCGATTTTCATTTCATTTTTATTTAATGCTGCATCTGACATGTTCCTTGTTCTAGGCAATACGTATGTGATGGTGAGTGTGATTTAAAACACATTAGGACTTAATCAAGAACTGTGGAAAAATAACTAGGAAATTGCCAACTTTAGACCAGAATAATCAAACTGGAAAAATCTTTAACTCCCATTTAAATTTGCAGATCAGCTATTTAGCCTACAATTTGCAGCTCCCTTGTCAAATCACCACACTCCCAGTTTAGTGAATACATCTATTCATTTCTAAACACACCGTACAATAGCAACCAGGGATGTTTTTATAATTTTGTATATACTATATCGGCCTGTGTGGCTCTGTATTTTGTACTAGACCACATATGCAGTATTTTACAAAAATATGTAGACTACAGGGTTTTGTATGAGTTTGATAATATCTGCTCTTACAGGCTCTACAACATAGCCACATGTCATATTCTCTACAGAATAACAATGTAATAGACGGTAAGCAGGGGTGCCCAAAAGGTAGATCCCCAGATGTTGCAGAACTACAGCTTCCATGAGTCTTTTGTCATTTTAAAGAATTCTAAAGGCATGCAAAGAATCATGGGAGTTGTAGTTCTACAACATCTGGTGATCTACCTTTTGGGCACTTCTGCTGTGGAGCATATTATTCTGCAACAGACTGGGTAACATGCTGCGAATGTCTGTACAGAATTGTATGCTCTATAGAAATACCCCCTTTAATATGGAATATACAACAGATCACATTAACATGCTGAATACTAGACTCTTCGAACAGGCTGTATAATAACCAGTAAATAGTATAACATTCTATGACAGCCTGTGTACTATGTATTTTAACCTGCTGTTTAGGACAGTATGCTGTGACAGGCTGTATTGCATGCTGTAAAGGGAGTTATAAATTATACTGTGTTGTGACATACACACTGAGTGTATGCTTTTCTTATTTTCCCATGGAGAAATGGATTGGGTTTGGGGAAAGAAAAAAAAGACACTTTACTCCCCATAAACACACTTGAACAAAAACAAGCAATCCTGTTGTAAATCTTGCAGCTTTCCATGTCACATCATCAAACACATTACCATCTCTTGGGAAGGATTTTGTTTAAAAAGCAGCCATGCCTCCTGATGTCATTCTAATAGATATTTGCTTTCTGTAAATTGATGTTATTTCCCCATCCAGTTGTCTTTTAGTAACTGTGACTCCTGTTTGTAATAAAAAAAACATTAGCACTTTACAAAAGTTGTAATTTTAACCTCATGAGTACCGGAGGAGCGAGTTACTAACTCAACTGATGCTAACAGTGACTCATTTGGCTTCCTGTATATTTTATTCATTTGTTCGTTCATTCATTTATTTTTGCTGATTTTTTTTTTTTGTAAAAATTAAGATAAATGTATTTATTTTTTCTTTCAAATGTTTTTATTGATACATTTTCAATAATAGCACAATCATAAAAATAATAATAATAATAACAATAATAACAGGAGAATGATTGTAACTAACATCATCCTATGATATCAAATATACACACATATACTGTATATATATATATATATATATATATATATATATATATATATACACACACATACATACATATACACATACACATAATATCCTTGAATTATTGGTGAGGTTTATTCACTAAACTGTGATTTTTTTTTTGTACAATTGACAAGGGCATATTCGAGATGAAGAAAAAACATTGCTAGACTTTATTTATTACACAGTGACCTGTGATGAACTGAATGATCCAGTTCCAAAAGTAAATCAAAGGGGCTCAATTGGATACATTCTACGATTTATCTTTTGTCCAACTCAGGTTGTTCGGCCTAAACTTTGAAATTCAGTTTTCACTTCACCACAAATTACAATTTTGTGAAAAAACAAACAATCCCTAGAGCTGAGTTGTTAAATTGACTATTGGCCTACAACTTGCAATCACTTGTCATCTAGCCACAATTCCCACTTAAGTGAATGAACCCTAATGGTAACTGAATGAAGCTAACATTGCATGTTGACGTAGCTAATTTGCAGCTCATTACGATGAACCCAGTACATTTTAGTTATGTTTATTTAACACAACAACATATAAATTATTTATTAAAAGTAACACATTAACTCCTGCCGTCACCTCATTGCTATTCAATAGAAACATAATGAATGCTCATTGCCAAAAGGGTAAAGTGCTATAAATATGAGCTTGTTATAGTTCCCATGCATGCATTATGAGAAATATACAGCAATATTATATTACAGGTCAGGTCACTGACTGCTTATCCTAACAATAAACCAAGATATACTTATATTGAATTATCTGGTGTTTACTAATTACTGTTGTCAGAAATGGGATAATCTGTACAGTGTGCTCTTTTAGATGGATATAAAGCTACCTTTATAATGATACATATTCTTACAAATGGGTGAGAACAAATGATAGAGAGTGTATGCTTGTTTAAATTGTATTGTCTCAATTCCCCAAGGTCCAAGTGTATTCCCAGTCCCTTGTCCTCCAGTCGTACTCTGCAAATCCATAACTGTCAGGGTGGCATTTTTACCATTTCTGTCTGTGAATGGGTTAATTGGACATCTTGAGACAAAAGTTAGATGGTGAATGTCAAAGCACTTATGAAACAGGCAGAGGAGAAGGAAGCGTATTGTGCTTTAAAGCTACAGGTTCCTTATATATTTGGATTGACGTTTTGCTCAGAGTGTGCCTTTTAGGTCTTGTATAGTCATTAAGCAAAACAAACAAACAATGGAAATCAATGCTGATTTGGCAAGACTTTGGATAATAAATATTCACTGCTTAAAAAACAATTATATAGTTCATTTAGAATGTTCTAATTGTTGTTGGTTTATGCTACATAAATGCTATTTTGTTCAATTCTGCTCTTACGTTCTTCATAGTGATAAATGTGATTGTTATATCTTTATACAGAACATGTCTCAGCCAATTTGCTTCTGTGGAATAGAATATGTTCCAAGTCCTGAAAATAATCTGCATTGCTTATTAAAACCAATCATTCTCCATTTAATACTAGATGTAAACAGAAATATTATTTAACTGTTTCATCTCCAAACAGTATTTATAACCACAAGCCTGATGCTGATCAGCTGAACACCTTCTTGCAGTTTATTATTATTATATATGTGTAAGCGATGTGGTTATAGGTTTGATGAAATGATTGTGAAGAAGGGTTAAAAAGCATGCATCATGTTCTAGGTGTTTGTGATATATATTCTAAACATATAGCTGTAATGTGTTTCATTCAATCATATCCCAGTCCACACTATGGCATGATCAGTAATTGATTTTGTTGTCAAATTTGTGGATATCACAAGAAACTCCAACAATGCAGAGAAAGAGAGCAATGCAAACTGGTGCCGAGAACTGTCTAGACAGAGACAGATGGGATTACCTTCAGCCAATGTCATTCAGCCCTGATGTGTAGAAAAGCCTCTCAGTTCAAGCTAAAGTCAAAATCCCAATCAGGGAGCTAAAGCGTATGTAGTTCAATTCAATTCTCCTGGGTGTGTTATATGTGCAGGTAATACACTGTTTACTTTCGAAACCAGCTCTCCTGATTTCAGGGCCCTTGTTGGTTTAATTGATCAGGCCAGGATTGTATTTATACTGAACCAACATAACCTGGTGTGTCAAGAATTTGGATCACGTTATTTCAGGGATGGTCAATCTCTGGTACTGCAAGGCAAACCTGAATTCCATTACTAAGGCTACATTTATCTCTGGTAATGAATACACATTTTCCCATACTCTGCAACAGAAATGCTTCCAGAAACAGCATTTCAATTTATTTCAGGTAACAGAATCCTGAATCAGAGCCTGTGTACAACGGACCTCTATAATGATGTTCAGGATGGTGGTCCACAGAGAAGGTGATGATTCCATGATCACTAAAACATTTAACCCTTTCAATATGCCACTTGATTCACTTTAAAAATGTGTACTTTGAAATAAAAAAAAAGTGTCATAACATTTATTCTACAATGGATCTTCATTCAAAAGAAGCACCATTACAATGCTGTTATGATAGCATGGTGTGTAGCTGTAACCCACAATTTTTAAGGTGTGGGAATACATTGACATACCCATCAAACCATGTGGACACTGGAAATGTTTTTTGGACTCTACTTCTTTCTCTCTCAGCTGGGCTTTACAAAACAACATGTGATACAAAACTTAAAAAACCTTTTTTTTTGTCATATATACACCCAACTCAAAAAAACACCCCACAATGTATATCATTTATATTCACCTGGAAAATACTTTACAAAAACATAGCACTTTATACCAAATGCTTGTCATTATCACCCCACTAATTGGTTGTCTTTTTCTTGCTCAGCTAGGCAAAGTGATGGGGATGTCTTATGAGCGCAGTACTACTCCAGTGTCTCTCAAATGACTATTGACCTTTAAAACTTGCCATATTAATGGGGACAATTTAAATGTATATACTGTCACATGACAACATCTAAAGCAGCTAAGTACCACATATACACTGCTAGAGGCCTATTTAGGAAAACGTATATTGCATTAGCCTTAACATGAAAATACAATTAATATATTCATTTTTAGACAAACCTATGTCTATATATGCATGGGTTTCCGTTGATTGAAGATACAATTTCCACAAGCAACATTTAATTTATCTTATTCTAGTCTCTTGTGCAAAACAGACATAGCACAGGTTATTTCTTTTCTGATTCCCTTTCTACCCTTCTGCACAATCCATATCACATAAAATGTTTTATGTAGGTAAGCATCTGCAGATCAGGGTTCACCGATGTGCACTGTGCATATGATTAAACCTCTCTCTGCTTACAGTGAATCAGGCTCAAGCAATATGTATGCATAAGAATGATTTTAGAGGTGAGCTATTGTCTTGAATCATTGCACTCCGGTTGACTGAGGATATTTCATTACAGAACAATTTAAGTAAATGTATGTAACCCATGCCATTCAGTGTCCTATATTAAAAGAAAAGGCAAAAGATGAAATCAGTGTCTGAATTTTCATTCTGCTATGCCCATTTGTTTTTATGTTAAATCAGAAATGTTATTTCATCTATTACCCAAAATAATGAACATTGGGTTCATGATCAGATATTAAGTCCTAAATATAGTAAAAATGTATATATTTTTTAATAAAATAAATATAATTTTCCAGAGTTTCCATACCACTATAATTCAATGGAGAAATGAAATTGTAACGATAGAAAGCACAGTAAGTACCTGTGTCTTTATACTGTCAGTGACTGGGGCTTCTCATTTAATTTAAAGGTCACTTGTTCTACATCACAATATTAAAATGTTTAAGTGATATCCAGCCATGTCAACTTCAGTAATCTCTCCTTCAAGTAATTTAACTACCTGAGTGCCAGTCTGCATCTCGGGCATGCCATTCAAGGGGTTAAATTTCACATTGTGACCGCAGACATTACTCACATTTTCCTTTACCGCTTACTTATGGCTGTCTAATTGTGGTTTATTGTTTAGCTGATTACGCTGGTTTCTGTAAGGAGGGAAATCTTCTGTGGAACATTATTCAAGCTTTATACTGAGCTGGAAAATATATTTTCCAGTGCAGAAATTTGCTAAGTGCAAGGTTTTTATAACCTTATGCTTAGAGAGGGAAAATTGTACCACAAATCTCTAAATGTTGTCTTCACTCAACTATATATATCTGCTTGGAGCAGTTGTGGCCTACATAAACATACACCCATTTACTCTCAGCAGTAGTCCCTAGTGTTACTTCATCTGTCCCCCCTTAACAATATTCCTTCATGGCATTTATTCACAAACACAGGTTTATAGGGTTATTCACTAAAGAGTATATACACAGGTAATAAAAATTAGTTTAAGGTCAATTTCATATTTCAAGGCTAGAACTGCCTAGTTGGATACAGCATCCATTCTAATTTGGACAATGATAAAACATTCCTTACTAATGGGCAACTGGGCACAGGAGCAAGCTAATTTTGCTTTTCTTGCGTTATGCCACCAAAGTCCTGCCTGTGGTGATCCTTAAAAGGACAGAAGTGATTGCAGGGTGAACTGTGGACCTTACATTACACAATGAAGAAGAAAGCAGGATTTACCTTTGTCTATTCATTTTAATATGGAAATACACTTTTCCAATTTTATGTACATTTAGGGACATGTGGGGATGTGGGATTTTTTTTATTATTTGACAATCAGGAATGCATACTATTAAGGGTTTGGACATAATGAGGGAAGGGAGATAGGTTTCATCCTTTTCAACATAGGGCTAGCAGGCCCTAGTTTCATATAGTAACACTCACCTACACTATGCATGAGAGGATGGAAGCTAGCCTTGGGCTTGGCACTTAGCATGGGACTTGTGCAAAGTATATTTATTATATTAAGGACATGAAAATGGACATTATTTGTGTGGTCTTTGCTCATTCTTATTAACTTCCTCCCCAGCACAGCAAAGGGCAAGGGAAGTACATTAGCTTAGTTTCACTAAATTAATAGTTTTACACTATAATCCCACTTATTTTCCTAGCCTCATCCCCTCCCTCCAGAGGATGAGGAGGCAGCCATCTAGCTACCTCCAGGTTTAGCTACTTGTGGAAACTCAATTTATGTTATATTCTTTTGGGAGAATGTCCTAAAAATGTTCAAAAAACTAAAAGTACTAAAAGTACTAAAAGCAATCACCTTGCAAACCAGTGAAACCAGCAGACACATTTTAAGAAAAAAATCTCCCCTTTACATTTTTTTCTTTTTTTTCTTTTTTTGTAACTTCATTTGCCTTTTAGTCATTTAAATGTTTAATGCTTCCAGTGAGATTATATAACATGGAGAGCATTCTTCGTGGTGTCTGATGTAAAAAAAAAAAAAAACAGCACTTAACAGCCAGGAATCAAGAGAGCTATCAGAACTGGTTCAAGTTTGCTTAAATCAATAAGTTGTGTTCAATACTCTTTTTTTAAGTTTAAGGTGCATACGTGGGCTAGTTTTAGGCAGCCATTTTGAACTAATTTAAAATTATTCTAGTTTTTTAAATAGACTTTCTTTTAAAGATCAACTGTTATGCTGGCATTTCAGACATAGGCTATGTAGATAAAAATCGAAGATTTAAGAAAAAATGTTCTGCTTAGTTAAACTGAAAATAATTTTCTTCTCCAACTTTAATATTTGTATATACATTTGGCAACCCTTTCAGTCACATATTGCACCCTATTTAGTGAATAAACAATTGATTTTTTATTTTTTTTTGGCACATTATATTTACTTACCGACCAATTAGAATAAAAATATATATGAAAGTGCTTCATTGGTCTGACAAAACACAAACTAAATAATATATGATATATTATTCTCAATCATGGTCTCTCATTCATCTTAAATATAAAACAATATTTTACAAAACATTATCAAAAAGGTCTGTTTGAGATCACAAATGTCCCATCTCCAGATGTCATGTCTTAGTAAATAATTCATATAAATGTATTTAAATATTCATGGGATGTAGAATGATAAACATACTCTTTGTAAAGAGGTTTAACTGCTGTGATAGTATTGTTATTCTATTATTTACCTATGCCTTTTGCATTTATTGCACACAGCTTTTTAAAACAAGTCTTATACCGTCTCACATACACAGGAACATTTAATAGCTTTTTGTATAATTACAGGAAATTCAAAAGCATAGCATATTTTATTTATTTTTTCACATTAGCTGAGTTTGTGCATCCAAATATCCTGGACACTGTACAATTTTTATTGTTTGACTACCCTCTTGCTACCTAAAGCCAATTACTGCCAAAGACATATGCCTTATTACTGAATATAAGACCCATGAGGTTATCGTCGTTAAAGTATGATAACCATTATCATTTGTTAACACTCCCTCAAATAAATGATTATTAATGACTAAGGGTGACAATCACAGTTTAATAAAAAGGCCTAAAACACTGAGTCATGCTGTTAGAAGTATATACTGCTTGATTCATTTAATTCAAGTATTAATCACTTAATATAATTTAAAAAAGCACAGAAAAACAGATAAATAATAGAAAATAATTAGAACATGAATAATAAATAACGGTTTAAAATATGAACTGGCCAAACATTATGCACACTGTGGGGGAAATTCAACAGAATGTTCTGTATTTATTTACAAAATGTCAAGCAGTTCAAATAAAAATGTTTACATTTCATGAAATGCCTTGCATGTTTAATTCTTTGTTACCACACTTGCCAGATAGACTATCAACATACAACATACATCTTAGTGCACAAAGAAACAAAAACTTGAAAAGAAAAAATATTTGCCATTTATGATGGGTCACATGTCATAAGAAAAAGAAAGAATAAAATATAAATCTTCATTGTTATACTATACTGCATAAACAGTAAAACTTTTATACTGTATCATTCACTAAACCGTGAAATGTCAGCAATTAACAAGTGAATTGAAATTTAAAGGGACACTATAGGGATCTAGACCACGTCAGCCCTTCTGATAAATTGCAATAATAACATTGCAGGGTTAAAACTGTCTCTAGTGGCTGTCAATAAGACAGCCACTAGAGGCACGTCCTACTTGTTAGTAGACTTTTTGTTGCCTAACTGGCGCTGGACATCTTCACGCTCTGCATGAGGTCATCCAGCATTGGTAAAATCCCTATAGTGAAGCTTTGCAGCAATGCTTGTCTATAGGGTGTGCCTAAAGCACTCGCTGCGCATGCACATTAGCGCATCCTCATTGAGTGACATCAGAGGTAGATCAGGTAAGTAAAGAGTTTTATAACCCTTACTGTACAGACAGGGGAGTGAGGGAGGAGGGGGGCCAAAAGGAGGTAAAGTGCTAGGAATACAGAGTTGTGTTCCTAGCACTCTAGTATCCCTTAAAGATCAGAATTTCTGTGCAAAGAACATAGGTAAGTGGGAACATTTTCATTCAACTATTTGGGCATTGATTTTCGATTCTCTTGTTAATTCTGAAGAAATTGTGGTTTACAGAATAACCCTGCTTCTCACTTTTATCCCCGTGCCATTAATCTCTTTGCACATTACTTATAACAGGCGTTTTTCAAAAAGAATTAGAATGCTAACATTTCAAGTAAAAAAAAAAAAAAGAAAAAAAAAATCTACACAAAGAAAAACCAGTGGAAAAAAAAATGTTATCTGCTCAATATATCATCAAAGTAGACACATGCACAAAAGGTAGTGTCAAGAAGAGATTCAATAACCATAAGGTTGTGGCAAAACAGAAGTAAAAAAACAGGGCAAATTGTGACTATAGCTGATTTGGAGAATTTTTTCAGTCAG